TCTGGTTTTCCAACTGAGCTGGCACAAAATACTAATTTCAGCTCCACAGCTATAGATATCCTGTTACTGACAGCTGTTTAGGCAAAGCTGGCTTCACAAGTGAGCATGTCTTCCCTTATGTGTACACAGAAAAGCTGAAAATAGAGGGGGAAATTCTCTTTGTTTTGCTTACCCAGCAATGTCCAGTTACTTTGGGAAATTAGTACCTTAAATTATGGACAAACACACATTACATTTACGTTTCACAAAATCCTGAAATCATTTATTACCTTCTCTCAACAGAAATCTGAGTTTGGAAAGCCAAACTGGCTCATAAAGGGACAACAGGCTGAAAGCAGCGGAGTCTATGTTAGGGCTTGAAGCAGTTAGAAAAATAAATTTTCAAAGCCTGTTATCATAGTACTTTTTATCTTTTCCACATAAGCAGCCTATCACAGATACTCTTCATAATTAAAAGCAACCCAAATAAACCACTTAGAGGAAATTAAAATCAAAACACATGGGCTGCTTTGACTAAAGTCTCAACTTCTTTATATTGAGCTTACATCAATCTCCATTACAAGACACCATTCTTAAACAGGAACAAAATACTCGAGACATTATATTTTATTAGGAAACATTCCATCCCACATATTTGTTTTCTTTTCTTTTCAAATGTGGGGAAGGCCAGATACACTGTCTGCAGTACCTCCAGGGTCTCCTGGCAGAACTACAATACCCAAGAATAATAATCAACCCAGGCTCAATTATAAGCGCAGTTAAAAAAAAAAAAAGCGCCACAATCATGATTTATCCTTACCCAGACACACACACCTCAAAAGACTCAATTAACCTAATGAAAATGCTCTGCACCTTTTCAAGTTGCCATGTCAGAAGTTTGGCTTTATTTTCTGAAGTTTGTTTAAGGTCACCAAGTGGTCAGATCAGTTTATCACCAAGACATCCCAAAAGTCCCCAGAATTGCACAGCTAATCCTCTCTTCTCATGTATTTCAGCTTTATCTATGGCATATAAGGTAAAGAAATGGTACAAAACACACACACAGACCTGACCCATAAAACACTTGCTGCCTTCTGAGAGACAGAAAATTGCTATCAAGTTCCTTTGAGTCTCAAACACAGTTTGTTATTCAATAGCCTGAAAGTATTAACTGTATTCTTGACCCATAAAACTTATCACATCCCATTTCATAAAAGATCTCTAGTTACTTAATTTCTCTGCTTCCTACACATGCTTAAAACTTTTATCTAATATAAACTAATACAAGGCTTTTGATTTCAGGGACAATATGTTAGGGAGCTTCATTTTCATAACAGTAGTCATTAAGTGATATTGACAATAATTATTCCCAAATAGAAACAAACATTTATTCAATAAGCAACTGAACAGGCCTAACTGCATATTTAAAGCAGAAAATGAGAATATTTTTATTCAAAATTAAATTTTGTATTAAGAGATTTGTAAGAGTGTTTTGTTTTCTAGGGGAAGAAAGTAAAGAGAGTAAAGCCCCTCTGAAAAATTCCACATTACTTAGATATTTTTTGAAACACACATGAAGACACCTGTTATTGAGTAGAACTTTGGAGCAGATAATGCCTTAAACAAAGATGCAGACACACTCAAGCACTCACAAAGACTAACTTCTCCTAAGTTCTCCTAAGTGAAAGAAACTTTCAGGGAGCCAGGGAAAAGAAACCTTTGATCCCTTTGAAACACAGATTATCACTTACATTTTCAGCTGCTGCAAATCTAGGTGGCACAAGTGATTTCAATTCCCATTGACTTTAGGGAGTGCATTTGAATTACAGCAGCTGAAGACTTTCCTGTAGCTGTTTTTATGCATGGAGACCTCATGCAGCAGTTTATTTCGGGAATGTGGGCCAGCCTGAGAGGACTGCACAGCTCTAAGTCAGGAGCCTCTCAGCCACCACAAGCAAGGCCAGGAGCAGGAGTCATTTGTGCTGCTCAGCTCCTGGCCACGTGTGCCTTGCACATGTCTTGCTTGCTTAAAATCAATGCATTGTAAAAGAATTGCTCCATTTTTCCAGAGAGCTACATAACAAAAGAGGGCATGGAAATTTTAAGTACATCTCACCCCCCACACTGAAGGCTAAGGATGCATTGCAGACACCACAACAGAATGTTCTAGGAGATATAAAGCCGCTGTATTGCCTCTGGGATGTTGCCTGGTCTGGTTTCATGCACCTTGCCAAAATTCATTGCTAGGAATGCAGCTGCCCTAGGCTTTCTGTGATAGAAGTGACTCCAAAAGTGTTTGGTTTGCTCCATCAGAAGGCCCTGCTATCCCTTACTCTGAAAATAACTTTCTTGTTTTCTTAAGTGACTTCAGTGAAGCTCAAAACACCGAGATGGTTTTAATGCTTAGATGAAGCCCTACAAATCAAACCAACACAAAAGATGCTTTGTTAAATTTCAATAAACAAGACATCTGAGGCTGAGTGATCCATTCTGCCTGCAATTATCCCGATGTAAGTGGAGGAGTTGGGGTATTTGTATGACACGACTGAATGTTAGCCTTGATCTGATCACATGTAACTGAAGACAGAATTTGGCCTACAGCTACAAAGTGCTAACATTTAAAACCCCAGCTCGGTCCTCCCAGGCAGCCTGCACTGCACAAATGCTCTAACATGTAGATTTGGCAAACAACGTACTGCTGGAGAGGGAAACGTCCCAGAGCAGCCCACAATAACAAATTGTCACTGTCCAGGCTAATAAGAACGAGCACTTAGCAAAGTTGACATGCAGAACTAGACTGATCTTTACATGGTAGCAGGTGACAGCAGCGACAGAGACATTTATGGAATTTGGAACAGTACATGGAACAAGGGGACCGCTGTTCCTCCCACTGTGAGAGTGCCTTAGGCTGTACACAGAAGCATCAGGCTTTAATCTCCTACATACTGCTCAGAGCTGAGGCCTTAATCAGTGTTAGATGAAGAGATATTTTCATATATATTTTTATTCTGGATGGCAGAGAAACACATGCCCTCATTTGAAATCTTAGAAATCAGATGTACTGGGGATTTTGTGCATGTGTCACCAAGCATTAAAGAAAAGTACCTCTCACTAATTTGCTAAAAGCTAAGCTAGGCAGTTATGAAACAACTTTATAGTCATCTGGTTTTGGTGACTGCTCCTTTTCTCTTTGATGCTGCATCCCAGATAGTACCTGACAGCACAATACCTAGTGGGATCATCATTCTGTTGCATACCTAGAGCTCACACCTTGCTTTTCTCTCCCAAACAGCAAAACCAGGCCTTTGTTTCGCTCATTTCTTACCCATGTTATCCATTAATTTTGCTGTCTTTTTACAGCTCATTACCACAGAAGACCTGAAAAGACCATCACTCCCTAATGTCTGAATGAGAATTTGAGAAAGTCTGAGGGAGGAATGTTTTGTTCATGGTTAAACAAGCACAAATGGAATGGCTAGAGGTTATAAATGTTTGCATTTTTTAACAGGGTGCTTAAAGGCATTTTGAATATAAATACAGACATAAAACAAATGCTTTGAGGAGCTCAAAATCCAAACATTCCATTTTGGACAACTGTTCAGAACAATGTGGGACTGTTCTTTGCATTTCCCTAGAATAAAAAGGGAACTTAACAACTGTTAGTATGTCCAAAAATTAGGAGCTGATCTCTTGCGTTGCCCCTCTGACCTGAGCTAGTGAATGCAGCAGAGCTGGATACAGATGTTGTACAGCACACAGGCTGGAGCTCTCAGAGTGCCCTTGGAAGGGCTGACCCTGAAAGCCCGAAGGGGCCTGCCAAGTGCAGAATGCTTCTCTTGCACCAACACAGTGGGGGATATCTGTTCTTGCAGGTCTGCTTCCAATTCACTGATTCCCACAACAGTAAATGATCTTAATCTAAAAAAAAAAATGATCTTAATCTAAAAAAAAAAAAAATGTGGTGGGCTTCTGCTAAGTCTGAGAAACCGAATCTCTCTCCAGAGCAGTGTCACTCCCAACTGCGTTCTCTGGGACACACATTAAAAAGTTCCTAAACTTATGCCAACAGGCATTTCCTGTTTCTCAGTGCTGGTATTCTCATTTCTTTTTGTGCCAGAAGTTAAGTGTAGAAGGTGCCTTTAGCTTAAGAACATAAGAAATGTCATAATAGTTCAAAGAAATGCCTCTGTTGGGTCGGTCCTGGCAGGTCAGGAATGCGTGTCTAGAGAAGAACATGAGGCAATAAGCCCATATCATGGCTTTTCCATGTATAAATTTTACAAGCTCCAAAGGGTCAGTGGTTCAGGGGCCACCAGAGAGGAAAGGTGCCTTTAGATCACTTTGATTGCAATGGATTTACCTCACAACACAGCAAGTTCGTATGAACTCAACAGGCTTAGTGCTAGAGCTAGGATCAGAGCTGGCATAATTCACCCTGACTGCATGCATATTAATTGACATTAACATTTTCCACCTAATCTGCAAACACCAACTGCAGAGGTTGTATTTCACTGCTTATTGCAAGTGAACAACAGTTAGTTACACAGCCCTCCTTGGCATTGTTATTTTGAAGTTGCCCATAATCTTTCTTGCTCAAGAGTTCACAGATCTGTACCAGCAGAGTTTGCATCACAATATGCTCTTAACCAGCAACTCAAGCACCTGAGAAAACAGAGCCTACTTGGCACTCCTAAAAAGCCACAACTCTCAGATCTTCTCATGGCTCAATAACATGGTATTGAGCACACTCAGAGGAAGCACAGAGTGCCAATGCAGCACGTGGGTCACAAGAGAGCTTGCAAAACTGAGGGATGGCACTAGCTGCCCTCCAGATGGGTTTCCTTCACTATGTACAGCATCTGCATGGATTCCCATGAGTACTTTTGCTGTCAGTTTAAGGGGAGTAAAGGCCACGTTGCCATGTTTGCCTTGGATTAATTTTAAGTTTGGAACAAAGAGAACAAATCACAGTTTCCTGCTTGCACACTATTTCCCCATGTCACAATCCCATGCACACTTACCAAGTCTGACAACACGCAGCATGGCTCCTTTCTCCTGACACTTCAGCAGGGGAACTTTCCAGAAGAAAGCCTGACACAGGTACCTCCAGAGTGGAGGCATTAATGCTGTTCACTTACACACTGTCCAGGTGATGTCTTCTGCAGGAATGCCTGAAAGTCACTCACAGCTGTAGCAAATTTTGATATATCCTAATGTCCCTTCAGATATTTGGGATGCCTTCATCAGCACTTCCAGAAAGAAAACTGCCTGACATGGTCATAGTTGAGACTGCCATGAGCTGCACAGTAACACCACTTCAGAAGGCTGCAAGCATCTGCCCTTCTTGCTCTTTAGCTCAACCTTTTATCCCCTCCTGTTGATGCATCGCACCTGTGTGCCTCTCATTGTTAATGCCCTGCACCTGTGTGCCCATCATTGTTAATGCCCTGCACCTGTGTGCCCCTCACAGTTCATGCCCTGCACCTGTGTGCCCCTCACTGTCAATGCATTTCACCTGTGTGCCCCTCACTGTCCATGCCCTGCCCCTGTGTGCCCTCTGCTCCCTTTGGTGGTTGCTCAGTGCCCCTGGGCACTCCATGGCTCATTGCTGTCCGTGCTGCTCACCTGCTGCTCACAGCTGTGCCCATTGGGGATGAGGCTGGGCGAGCCCCATCCCAATTATCACAAACTGGGCACCTACATGGCACTTGTTGATACAAAAGACCAAAATAGATGACTATGCCAAATCTTTAGAATGTCTCTATTTCTGCCATTAGTTTAGATGTTCTCTGAGTAAATACAAGCCTGGAAAGTATATGTTAACTATAACTTCAGCAAATTCTGTTGTAAGATAACACAGATAACCTTTTCTACTTGCCAACTTCACTCATGTGCTGAAAGTATTTAGATGAATTTAACATTCTTGAATTATTTGGGTTCCTTATTCTTATAAATATTTATACTCAGCATGCATCTAAGAGAGTGTCTCCATCTAAAAATAGCATTGTGATTTGTGGCTTTGCAAATATGAGATGGGAAGTCAGAGCATCACAAACTAAATACAGCAAGTGTGTGTAATTATCCTCATTAAAACACTTTGAGTGGAAAATTTTAATTACCCTGGGATATAAGAGAAAGCAGGGCCGACATCCCCTAGATCCTGGTTGCAGAACACTTATGAAGGCAGTGTAATCCTGGATTTCTAGTAATTTGTTCAGACTTTCAGGGACTTGCTTCCAGCCCTGGAGCTACAACCTGTCCAGGCAGAGCTGAGGCAGATGCATGGCCACTTCCTGAGTAAATCCCTGGAAAATTACTCCATAAATTTCTAGGAGGCTGGTGGGGAAACTCTGGTCTGAACTTCCAAGTGTCAGAGTTGGAATTTGAAAAATCCTATGTTAAAGCTCTAAGCAGGACATTTAAAGTTCTGGTGTGCCACAACTTCATTGTTTTAAAAGCAATTTTCTTGACTACAAGCTGAGTATTTGATATTTCCACTCAGTGGATCCTGCCTACAAGTGGGAAAGGGACGCAGAAGTACTAATGAAAACATCACTATCCCATAATTGCAATCTGTCTGATATTTGTAGCTGCCTTCAGGAGAATGGACATTTTACTCTCATTCTCCTACCATCCAGTTCAGTTTTGAAGCCCAAATCCTCAGCACACATTGTCTCTTCCCCATTGAGACTTTTTCCTTTTTCCCTCCAAACACCTTCCCGATGTTTCCCAGTGAACCCAGGATGTTCCTGCCCTGCTGAATGAGAGGGACCACAATCCTTTCCACTTCTGCTCTGAATGAAGGCACAGCAGGAAGAGCTCCTCTGGTGATGTTTATGCAGCTGTGCAAGTCTGCTGGCGAGAGCAGCAGAATTGCAAACACCTGAGTCATTCTATCACCATACCCATACTGCAGAATCCATGTCGTCCACTACCAGAGCAGAGCTGATCCTGCATTGTAAAAAACTCCAAACTCATGCTCCCTTCTTTGAAGAATGTAAAATGAAATAGAAATTTTAAAAATAAATAGAAGTTGTGCATCAATTCTTCTTACTAGGCAATAAATGCTTTGTAAGCTTCTGATTCTTGTCCTTCTTGGAAATGCACTCAGTTTGTCTTTCCTCTTGATAAGGTGACTGCAGTGGGCGGACACTCTGGAGTACAGGTACTTAAGGAATGACTCAGGATAATTAAGTGACTGCAATTTAATAGCTTAGCTTTTACTTTTCCCTCTCTAAGTACTTAGTTATAAACCTAGTCTTCTTGGAAAACTACTCTCTTCAATTTCCAGGGTGTCAGACCAGTGTTTAGCACTTTTACTCATTTCATTGGCACAGACTTCTATCCAGAGGAACAAGGCACACACAGTGGAAGCAATCATAGTCCCGGGACACATTCACTGTAATGCTTATGCTCTACCACAGCTCTTTGGCTTGGAGCAGAAGCAGAGATAAAAATGGCACATAAGGAATCCAATTCACAAGGTTCCACAATGCCCCTTGCCTAACATTTCCTCATGTTCTCACCCATTCTCCACACATGCATGACAGTAATCCAAAGGAGAATGCACTTACTACCGCTCAACCTTTGAAAGCATTATTGGATTGCTAACACTGCAGTGGAACACATTTTAATGACCTAATCATTAAATATTTTTGTTAATTTCATGTTGGTGTGAATGCATAAAGTTTAGATTTTCTTTATTTCTTTTTTTAGTTGAATCTTCAGAGTAAGAAACATCACCCCATTCTGCACTTGCTGAACCAATTCAGGCTCCAAATGGTTAAACTCTTACAGGGGGAAAAAAAAAAAAAAAAGACATTTTTTCCTTCTGGGCTTCCTCACTACAGTTGAAACTGAAAACAGAAGGACCAGAATACCACAATAAAGGCTGCTCTTACTGTATTTTGAACTGACTAGAAGAGACAGGAAGATCAAGAAAGCCTGTGAGAGATAATAAAAGACAAGCACTTGAAAACTGAATTGTGATGTGGCCACCAGAAATACCACTCAGAGAAACAAAAATACTTGCAAGCATGTCCCTGGAGGATGGACTGCCAAGCCCTGGCTCAGCAGCTCTGCTGGATTTTTAAAGATAGATTATGCAAGAATCTTCTGTGAGCACAAGGAAGAGAAAAGCAGCAGTGGATTTTGTCAAGCTATCATGAAAATCTAGGAATTACCATATTAGATTAGGCTGTGCCTCCTATCAAATTCCTCTCAGCAGTCATTAGCCCCAGATGCTCCAGAGGAAGCTGAGACAGGTCTGGTATATCGTATTCCCCAGGAGACCTGGCAGCCCTGTTTCTCACAGGGTGTGGATAAAGCACTGGAGCATCAGAGAAGGGCTGCCTCTCCGTGTGCTCCACAGAGCTCCTCCAAAGAGGAAATGCATGAAACTTGGCCCCTAGCTGGCAGGTCTCTGGATGTTTTCAGAGTAATTCAGGGTAAGCTCCAGTCCAAAGAACATTTCATTCGTAAGTGTTTTCAATAAAGCAGTGGAAGCCACCCACATCCTGCTGGGACAGTATGGGTTTGTGCTTCTGAGCTCTTGAACCATTTCAGGAAAAAATGATACACACCAGAGCCCTTTTAAATGTCATATCAGGCAGTAAGTGATATTTGGCACAGTGAACTAATTAATTTTTTAATAAAAAGGAGTTATCTAACTTTTTCTATGAACACACAACAGTAGGCCTAGCTCAAATGTTTATGCAAGATGAGTACACAGCCCAATTTTTTCCCCATTACATTTTGAGAGGGAGCAAGGTGGCCTCAGGCAGGCCTCAGTCTCCTTGGGAGCATCACTAGGGAGCTGTACCACTTCAGACTCCTTCAACAGGAAAGCATTTCAAAACCAACCACACACTTTAATTACTGGCAATTAGAAATGCCTGGGTTTGTCTGTTTACAGCTGAAAAATGTTAATGTGTGCCAGTTGTGTCAGAAAGTTTGATTAAGCTCTTTAAACTGAATTTGAAAAACTTAAAACACTCCAAAGACTCTGATCAGAGTGTCTTGGGGGGCTTTCCAAAGTGACATGTAGAAGCCAGAACTGCTTTAACAGTCTCCTCACTGGTCCCAGTGGGCCAGAGCTTGCCTTGCAGAGACACACACCCAACACAGCTGGCAGGAGAGATTTCTGTCTGGCACTTCCACAAAGACCAAGCAGCATCTCAATCTTATCTGGGATCATTATCTGAATGGCAAACTGGAGTTACACCTGAGGTCCCAATGACTATCCCTGGTGCCAGTGGGGTTTATAGAAGCAGCTATGAAATGAGATGAAAACACACACACACTCCACTTTACAGGTTAGCTGCTTTTTCAGCATACAGCAGAGCTGTGTCAGTCACTGTCTTAGAAATTTGAAGACTGCAAGAAACATCAACAATAAGAGAGTGATGTTAGACCAAGTTCATAGGCAAAATACAAAGAGAGCAAAAGGTACTTTTCCAGGCCCAGCAGAGATGATATTCCCATGGACGTGTAAAGCTGATCGTGAATGCTTGCTACAGAGCTCTCCATGTGTCATAAAATATGAGCAATAAAATAAAGTCAAAGAATTGAAAAGACAAATGACAAGCCTCTGTGCATCATTAATGAATGATGAGGGTGGAAAGGCAGAAGATAACCTTCCATGCATATAATAATGATGTCTTTGACTGGTGGTGCTTCTCTATGCCTGCACGTTTAATAAGATGTGTTAGAATTAAAAATTTAAAAATCAAGTCCATGTGCTCCATAAAATATGAGGAAAGAAGCAACTCTTGCCTAAGTTAAGATCTTAGCATTTTACATCTTATTAAAGAAGGAGATGTGTTGATTTATGCAAATACTCATAAATGAAGCATGACAGTATTCCAATTCTGATAACAAACCAAGTCATACAGTCAGTAATCTCATGTCTCATCAAAGGAAGAATTTTGATACTTAGCAAAGAGTTGGAAGTCCACAGGAAACCATCTGTTATTGCATTGAGTGACCTTTCCTCAGCTGCTTTATACCCAAAGCTACAGATCCCAGGCTCAAGGGGTTCTGTGATTTTCCCTGATAATGTCAATGAGTTCCCCAATAACACTGGCATTAGTGAGAAGGCACTAAGGCTTCATGTTTTGTTTGTAGCACTGTCCTTTGCAAAGGAGCTGAACACACTATTTAATGAGAGCAAGCCTACATTCTCCAGACCTCTCAGTAGGACAAGGACTTCCTAGTGCTCTACATGACAACTTTTCTTTTTTTCTCCCCCATCTTTAGGAAGTGTATTTATCCTGTGCTCTCTATTATACTGGAATATAACCCAATGCTATCCAATCCA